ATGGTTTATAACACACTAGTGTGTTATTTGATAGTTTACCTGTCTAAATTGACACAAATAACGACTCTTATAACAAGCAGGTGTTGGATAAAGTATAATTATTAATGGATAACCGTACATCAGTTGTTTCTCTCACTTGCAAATAGACCCGCCCCCACAATTTTATGTCACAGTTGTAACAAGCCAAAATTGCACAACTAATTCTTACCTACTTTCAGTTTTCTATTCAAAATTCCTTTAAATTTGTTAACATTTTCTCTCTGTAAAATTTCAACAACAATCACAACGGTTGCGGATCCTGTAAATTTTCTAATTTTCAATGGTCAAATTCTATTTTCATTTGTTACTAGTTCCTGTGCTGTAATGATTTTTCCTCGAATTTTAATCCATATTTTAATTCAACTTCAGAATCAAAACAAATAAATATTTTAATTCCAATCTAAAATTCCATTTCCAATTAATTCGATTTTCATAATAAACAAATAAATATTCATTTGACAAAAATATTTATTTTTGGGTTATGCTCCCAAATCATAATAATCCGTTTTCAAAGTGTATGTACTGAACTACTCTGTTCGTACTTTCTTATTCTGTTCGGTACTCAGTATAAGTTCTAGTGGAACCCGGGTCAATCAGTTCGATAATCTTTGATATGTGTTCTGCGCTATCCTTGCTTTCTATTTTTTTTTTTGACTTTTGAAGTGTCATTAATTCTTGTCAACCGGCTGTCGATTAGTAATGTTTTGGGAATGTCGATTCCGGTTAAGCCCTTCAGTTTCACAACACGGATCACTTACTCTATGTCGTATTCTTCAAGTTATGATTGTTTTATTGGATAGTTGTTTGTTGTTATTATCATTATTCGTCGGCCGTTGTCATTTTTCTCGGATTGTATTCCTGTGAATTGGCGCCCAACGTAGGGCAGCTTTTTCACTAGTGATTAAATAGAAAAAGTCAGAATCTACTGTGGAAAAAACGTGTAAAGCAACTTACCACATGAGTTGTAAAAATCCGAATTAATCGGCGAAAATTATAACACTACGAAAACGTAAGGCAAAAGGCCACTAAATATGTTATAAATTAAATTGAAAATATAAGGTCGAAATCCCACAAGGGCGAAGAAAATTTTTGAAATAAAAGACCTTATTTGTCCAACTTCTAGATGTGAAAAGAAATGTGCTACACATAAAATTAATTAGCTGACCTAAAGGTAGAAATTCAGAGATGATTCAGGATAACGACGAACGTCAATAATTAATCGATAGAATTCTTACTTACCAAAAATTGCACACAACAATATAATCCGAGAAAAATGACAACGGCTGACGAATAATGATAATAACAACAAATAATTATCCAATAAATTAATCATAACTTCAAGAATACGACATTGAACATATATCAAAGATTATCGAACTAATGATTGACCCAGGTTTCAATAGAACTTGTACCGATTTCAATAACCGAACAGAATAAGACAGTACGAACAGAGTAGTTCGGTACATACACTTTGAAAACGGATTGTTATGATTTGGGGGACATAACCCCAAAAGAATCATTTTTGACAAATGAATATTTAATATTTATTTGTTTATTATGAAAATCAAATGGGAAATGGAATTTAAAATATTGATTTGTTTTGATTTTGAAATTAAATTAAAATGTGGATTAAAATCGAGGAAAAATCATTACAGCACAGGAACTAGTAACAAATGAAAATAGAATTTGACCATTGAAAATTAGAAAATTTACAGGATCCGCAACCGTTGCGATTGTTGTTGAAATTTTATAGAAAGAAAATGTTAACAAATTTAGGCCCAGTTTCACAAAGTGTAGTAAACTACTAGTTATGAGATAACTACTAGTTAAAACGAAAACAGCATTTCACAATTGACGGTTCAACGTGACATCTTTAGTTAACCAGTAGTTGAATTAACCCAAGGATGCGTATGAGTTAGCTGAAATGCTTCGTTTTTTAGGACAATTCAAAAGTGTCAAGTTTGAAAAGGTAAAATTATTGAATGAAAACTTTCGCATTTCTTTTTCCGTTAGTGATACAATTGGAATTAAAATTTGCTCCCACCCTTCTCCAAGCATTTTCTTCTTTTTTTCCACGTCGATGCGCCGCTTGTTTTACATTCTATTAATAACTTATATTTTTGCACGAGAGACACTAATAAATACTCTTCTTCCTTTGAAAAATTCGCAGACCTTTTCTCACTTGACTTCATGATTTAAATTTGAACAGGAAGCACGACACAAAACCCAATATTGAATTGAATAGGTATCTGTGAAATTTTACTGCCACTGACAAAAATTAATATAATTATTAATGACAAATCACAAAAAGTGACGTTATAGTGAAGTTTAAAGGGGCCTTTTTTTATTTTTCAAGGTGGTTTTTAAAATTTTGTCAAAAAATCAAGTACATACTAACCTTTGAGAAATAAAATTCAACCATTTAACCGTTTAGGAAATAATTACCATCAAATACGAACGCTCGCAATTTACCATCTAACCTAAATAATAGAGCACTTGGCGCGGATACTACAGTCCGTTATTTGAACTTAAATTATTTTGAGTCCATTGGACATACTACAATTCCTTGATAAGCTCAATTGGTAGATGAGAGATTTGACTATCCTAGGACTTGTGACGTGCACCAATTTGTGATCATAACACTCAATTAACTCCAATGGAGTTCCAAAATCTCAAAAATATGATGCAATGTCTCAAAAAGTCTTTAATCATTTTGAGCCCATTAGAAATTGTAGTATATTCCTTGAGAAGCTCAATTGGTAATTGTGATCTGACTGTTCTAGGACTTGTGACGTGCTTCAATTTTTGATCATAACACTGAATTTACTCCAATTGAGGTCCAAAATCTCAAAAATATGATACAATATCCTAAATTCTTTGAAATTACTTAGTCTGTTATCTCAACTTAAATTATTTTGAGTCCATTGGGCATACTACAATTCCTTGGGAAGCTTAATTAGTAGATGAGATCTGACTGTTTTAGGACTTGTGACGTGCAGCAATTTGTGATCATAACAGTCAATTGACTCCAATATAAAGCTTCCCAAGTAAATGTAGGAAAATATCTAAGAATAAAATTTGATGAGATTTTGACCAATCACTTTTTTGAGAATCTGGCTCCTGAATTGGTGCACGTCGAAGATCCGGAAACAGGCATTACCAACACTGATCAAGCTTTCCGAAGAACTGGAATATTCTCAACAGACCAGAAATACAGATTTATGAAAATTTGAAAAAATACCTCTGATAAATTGAAACCTAAATTTATGCCGAGCCTTTTGGGCCCGTGACAGGTCCTAGAATAGACAGCTTATATATTATTTAGCTTCTTGAAAAACTTTAATATACTTAGAGGGCTTGAAATATTTAAAATTCGAATAAGTTTGGGGAAAAGTAATATTCTTTAAGATAAGAAATTTATTCCAGGCTCTTGAATTAGAATTATGTATATCCATTCATTTTACCGGACAGATTTGATCAACTGAGAATATTGAAAAATAGGACAATTTCTTAGGAAAAAAATTTAATAACTCACCTAAGTTAGAGAAGTTTCAAGAAAGTTCGTGAGAATTTGAAGAAGTCCGGATACATTACATTACAAAAAAAGAGACAAACGATATTGAGAAAAACCACCTATTTAAGATATTGTTTCTTCAAAACTTAACTTAAAAAAAAAAAACGTTTACTGAATAAAAATAAATGTTGCAACCTTGTATGCGCCGTGAAGCGCACTGAAAGGATACCGAACCGAACGGGAGATAGAGAAGAGGCGATTAGGCATTAGACTAGAGAACAAGCTGGGACTGGTCCCTTTGGACGCGTGTCTGTAATTATTTATTATTCAATTTTTATTTTTATTTTGCATAAATTGATTGTTCAATCTAATTTGTTATTAGTGTGTGTGTCAAGGAGAGATCACAGGTTAGTTGAATAATTGTTATTTTGTTTTTGAGAGTTCATTTATACAAGTATCTTTTTTTCATTTTTACGTTTTTTTTGTTTGTTTATAACATTTTTTATAACATGTGCATTGTTCATGTATTTAACAAAAATCGTTTCATGCTATAAACGAAAAGGACAAAGAAGTAAATTAGAACCTAAGAAATTATGTGCTGTCTTTTTGTGTTGAGATTTTGATTTTGTGGATTTAGAGCGTGCATTAGGGCCTTGTTGAATTTACTAACATTTTCCTACCCTGACGAGAGAATATCCTAGCAAATTGAAATAATCAATCTAGAGATATTGGCTCAAAAACAACTATAGCTGAGTAGCTTCCAGTATGGGACCTCAGTACCTGCTGGGAAACTAGCTAACTAACCAAAAACTCTTCAGTATTGAATATAGGTAGTGTTGATTGAATGTTGTGTGTGAAATTAAAATTTTAGCACAAAGACAAAGGATGGTACCTAATTTAAACTTTTATGACATTTTTCGTTTCTTTTACATATCACAACCTCCCTTAAATTTCCCTAATATTTGCTATGTCGGGCGCATGTCCAGTAAGTAAAATTGAGTAAGTTTCCACAACGTAGGTCCTATTTGTTTTTCATTTCGTTTTTCAGAATATTTGTTGTTTAAAAGGTAATAAAAATTCTCATCGTTCAATCTTACTGAACGAACCCGGGTATGTTATACTACAATATAGAATCTCAATGAATGCATGAATTTGATTAGGAAAACCCAAGAAAGTATGAGAGTTCGAGGGATTTTTGAAGAAAGTGGCTGGAACAAACCAAAATCTGTGACTTTTTAATAAAGCCATATAAAGAATTGATTATTTTATTCAATTATACCGGGCGTAGCATTCAAAATTTGATATGATTAATATCAATTATTATCGGTGACATTTCTGAAAACCATTCCTACTTGATGCTTTCTGCTTCGATAAAATCCGTTTTTGCTTTCGATTTTCTAGACCCTCAAAAACAACCCAGTTATAATTATATAGTAAAATTGCTTACCAGACATTCGGCATCGCCCACGTAACAAAATTCTCCAGATACGGACGTGGAAACCCACAGATGGTCACCGATCGCTGCCGGTTCGCCCCAATCCGGAGTCCCTTTTAGCGTACGCTCCGCCGGTCCAGTCGATCTTCTGTAACAAAAAAAAAAAGAGTATTATATTAATGTATTTTCAAAGTTATAAAGTCCACACATGCGGAAACCTGCAAAGAAAATTTTTCACTTTCATCACTAAAACTCACTGTTTAGAAAGAAAAAACTTTTGCAATAATAATTATGGAACTTACTATAAAATTCCAAACTAATATTTCGTCATTAGCGCAAAAAGTTCCGTCATCAAATTGATAGGCCTCGAACTAAACTAAGTCATTCAAAGAAAGTTTTCCGCCTTGCTTCGCGAGGCTATAATTAGTCAAGAAGTTGGAATATCTTTTATAAAATATTGGAAATTATTGAGTTTAATACCGACGACGAATCATAAATTCTGTCGATTAATATTTATTGTGTTTAAATTGGTTGGAGTAGTATAAGGTACAACTCTTTAGTTTGATTGTTTTGTGGTCTAAATTCTTGTGACTAAATGTCTGTCCGTCTACACCACACTTCGTCCATATAGTCATCCAAACAGAAATCAATATCCATCCAGGGGAAGAAAAATTCTTCCACCAAACGTCTGTCCGTTCGACCAAAGAAATTCCGTCCACACAATCCGTCCAGAAGAGATCAACTCCGTCCGCCTGTTATGTAAGAACCCAAGAGACGTCCCTCCGCTCGTCCAGTAAAAAAGTCCGTACACACTTTGCAGCTACCAATCACATCAGTGATGTCAGCTGAAAAAATACTCAACGAACTGGAACTTCTTGACCATAAAGGTATAATTCATATTAGAGGAAGGTTGGAAAATCTATTGCTAAATTACGAACAAAAACATCCGATGATCATACCCTATATCATAGTCATGTCACTATATTGATAATCGTAGATGCCCACAGGAAGACTCTTCATGGAGGCAATCAAGCCATATTGTCATACGTAAGAAGCGAATTTTGGGTCATTAATGGAAAGCGAGCAGTGAAAGCAATGTTGAAAAACTGCATCATGTGCATCCGACATGACAAAGCAAGAAGAGCAGAGCAAGCTAGAGTAACACCAGCACTTCCGTTCATGAATTCGAGAGTAGACTATGCAGGGCTTATTCAAGTTAGAGCCACCAAAGGAAGAGGACACAAATTCTACAAAGGCTATATAGCAGTTTTTGTCTACCTATCCCCTATCCACTAAAGCAATTCACCTCGAAGTTGTCAGTGACATGACGTCTGGAGCATTCCTAGCGGTATTCCACAGATTTGTTTATAGAAGAGGCCAATGCGGAAGTGTTTATAGCCATAATGGAACGACATTTGTAGGTATGAACGTAATAAGTGACATATCAACATTACAAGTTCCTAATAGGAAGAGAGTTGTTAGCACCCCCAGCGCTGGACCAGAGATCAGAAGCTTATCCCAAAGATGGCGACTTATCCAAAAAATTAAGAAAAACCCCTAGCATGTTTGATTTACAGAATACTGACTATGGGACGCTCCCTAACCTGTAGTGAGGTGCCCTCACTTTTGTTAGTGTCTTCGCTTCTCCACGTCCTCTCACTTTCGGTGGAAGAAGATGATGTCAGTTCAGATGTGCCCTGACTTATTTTGACGTTCCCTCACTTTGGGCGACGTCCCCTGACTTTTTTAGGACGTGCCCTTACTTTGGGTGGCGTCCCCTCACTTAATAGCCGTCTCCTTACTTGAAGACGTCTCCTCACTTTTCCATTTTCATGAAAAATTTTTCACGTCCACGTGCCCCGACTTTTTTCCGTGTACCGTCAGTAAGGACCACAGCAGAGATATAAATGGTAAAGCCAAAGTGAGAACTTACGAGTGGGCACTATGGTCCTACTTAAAGAAGAAAACGTGAATCAGAATCAATGGCCGCTGGCACGAATCGCTCAAATCCACCCAGGAAAGGATGGTGCAGTTCAAGTTGTTACAATAAAGATAGCTAGAGGCACTATGACGAAAAGGTCTATTCATAAACTAATTCTACTTCCGAAAAAAAAAGACAGACAGACAATTATTTGGAATCCAAGTCAGTGAGGATAAATATAAATAGTGTATAAAATTGATTGTTCTGATTGCAGTAATACATATATTGGACAAACAAAACAATACTTTAAAAAAAGAATATATGAACACAAATATAGTTTGAGGCGAAACAATGAAAACAAAACAGCTTTAACACACCATGCACATGAAAACCTACATAGTTTCAATTTTGATAATGCACAAATTTTAGTAAGAGAAGACAATTACCATAAAAGAAGAATTCATGAAATGATCCAAATTCAAAAAAATTCAAATACTATCAACTTTAGATCTGATACAGAAAACTTAAGTGATATTTACCATAATTTAATCACAACTCAATAAACATAACACAAACTTTGCTCTCCCTATACATTAGTTTAACGAACACACTGTGTATAGAATGGAATTCCAAATAGGCTAAAAAAAAAAAAAAAAAAAAAAAAAACCCTGACTGATAAGAAACAAACACTTCCACCTATTTACGTAGCAACATCAACTAGAACTGCGAAAGGTCGAACTGGTTAAAATCAAATAAATTATAAAGATTTTTTAAAACATGAAAAAGAAAAATTAAATCATGGAACAACTTAGTTTGATGATCTAATTACAATAATACTTGAATACACAATTGGTAGACTACGATTATACAATAGCTGGTAAGAATTCCATTGCTATATTTTTTATTTCTTTTTCTTTCTAAATTTTTTTTCCTAAACCTTCACTATTTTTAGAAAAAAATTAAATGAAATATATATATATACATACTTTTCATCCTTCTCTCGTGTTACTCGTAACTCTCTTCCACATAATAATTAAATATAGAAATAATGTTAATATCTGTCTTTTTTTAAATGTGGCACCTAATTAGTTTGTACTGTACCTATGATTGTATTGTTTTTTATTTTTATGTTTATAATGTAGAATTGTCCAAAATCAAAAAAAAAAAAAGAATTTTATGTAAAAATATTTTTTGATCTTTTTTAGAAAAATATTGTCTGATGATGGTTAATTAAACCGAAACGTTACAAATTACAAGCTAGTGTTTTCATTGTGTGACCGATTCCCAGGATTAAAAAAAAAAAAAAAAGGATTAAATTAACGATAAACGGTCAGGAATATTTCGAAAATTGATAAATATAAAGAAGAGATAGTGTTGAAAATCGTAGATCACGCTCCAGGTACAGACAATTCGATTCTAATTTACAGGACCGGAATGGAAACGAGTGATGGTACTGCCTCGGTCAAAGAAAAGCTCTTCTCCTACTCCAAGTGATGAAAGATGATAGAAGAGTCAGGGGTGACCGAATAGGAAAGGTAAAAGAAGAAGAGGCAGCACTCTCAAGACTAGGTATGAAGGAAAAAGTATTTCAGCTGGGGTAACTCGGGGTGGCCAGGCCCGTATTCACTAGATGTGAGTGTTTGATGCCCGTAATTTGTCGAGTCTCATTGTGATACTATTCAGACGTAGTCTTCTCCTAGCGAAATCGTGCACCTTCGTCTTCATCAACTAGTTCTGGGTACATTTTAAAATAATCCATAGTAACCATGAGGTTACTTATTTCCCGACTCTGTTGTAGAAAAAGGACGTTCACAATCTACCGAAATTATTTTCCAGAGAAGTACCTAATGCCTCATTTCTTCTCGAGTCTTAAGTCTTTTTTTGAAAGCATAGTTTTCGAATGTTTAATTTACAAGACTTCTAGGAGAACCTCACAGCTTCAAAAATTACAAGCTACTCAGAAACAAGTGACCTAACGCCAATAACTAGAAACACTAGAACCCAGACATCGTCCAAATCGGAGTAACTACATCTCCTACTAGCCTTACTTATGCTTATCTCCACTATCACAGCAGAGAGCAGATTCAGAATTAACTACCCTCAACATGGAATATACGTAGAGCATATCGGATCGTCGAGAATCGCTTGAGGTATGTTCCGCATGGAAATAGTAGGTCCAATAAAAAAATAGAAGCCAAGCAGACAATATGGCAATATCGAATGTTGTTCGTCAGTTTGAAACACTGTGTAACAGGTCAATCGGAATTACAAATGACGTAAAATGTACTTCATCAATACACCATTTAGAACAATTGGAAAATCACACCAAGTGGGCATATGGCACTCTAAACAGCGTCCATCACCAAAGGAGAAAAAGAGGATTTTTTGGGAAATTTTTAACCGCAGTCTTTGGGGTCTATGATGAGGTGTATCAAGACATTGATGCACTAAATGAAAATCAACAACAGTTAATCAAAACATCCAGTCATCAAACCAAGTTCATGATTTCAGCCCTTGCAAAGTTCAACGAGACCGAAGCCAAAATAAACACTAAACTACAACATTTTCAAGATAGATTACATCAAAGAATTGAATCTATCAACAAAATACAAAGCTGGTACAAACAACGATACCAATGCATTAATTAACCACCTCAGTGCTTATCAAGTGGTACCAAATTTTATAAGCGAAATCAGCCAATACTACGATAATTTACTACATTCCAACACAGAAACCAGATACGATTTAATCTCACACCCGCGTATATGCACTCTATCATTGAACAAACCAGTTAAAAGTTTCCAAGTAATCTGAAGATTGTCGCATCCCCAATCACAACGACAAAGTTGACTGCCAATAAGATATTCGGATATTTCCCTATTGCAGATGTTTAGAGTCTGGAAATGGTACCTATTGGACTATGAACCTTCCAGATGGATAAATATTGCGATTGATTACAACATTAGTAGGGAGTATGTAGGCTTTCTGGCTGAAAACAGAGACGAGACAAAGAGACACTCCCCCTACCACTGAAGATACAACCATCCCCTGCGCCCTCCATGAATCCCACTACAAAACTCACTCAAAATACAATCATCCCCCTACCTGTATCCCCCTATAGCGCTAATCAAAGTATCCATCCACCCTGTAATTATCTTGAAGTAAATAAACTTAACTTTCTTTACACAAATTATTGAAATTTTGCCTATTTATTTCAAGATAATTACAGGGTGGAGGGATACTTTCATTAGCGCTATAGGAGGTTACAGGTAGGGGGATGGTTGTATCTTGAGTGAGTCGTGTGATACGGGGATTCATAGAGGGCGCAGGGGATGGTTGTATCTTGAGAGGTAGGGGGATGGTGGTATCTTGAGTGAGTTGTGTGGTAGGGAGATTCATGGAGGGCGCAGGGAATGGTTGTATCTTCAGTGGTAGGGGGAGTGTCTACACTTTCCCTACCACAAGAACAAAACCAGTGAAAACCAGCTAAATCAGCATAAAATTAGCAAAATCCAGAATAAACCTAGTAATACCAGCTAAACCAGCAAAATCCAGCACAAAACTAGCACGAAACCAGTGAAAACCAGCACAAAACCAGCTAAACCAGCATAAAATCAGCAAAACCCAGAACAAAACTATTCAAATCCAGAACAGAGCCAGCAAAATTCAGCACACATAATTAGCAGAATTCAGCACAAAACCAGCATAGAACATAGGGGGGATGGTTGTATCTTGAGTGATAGGGGGGATTCATAGAGGGCGTAGGGGATAGTTGTATCTTCAGGGGTAGAAGGAGTGCGAGGGGGAGTGTCATTTTGTCTCGTCTCTGTTTTGAGCCAGAAAGATTACCTACTCCCTACTAACACTCGAACTCTAGGAACGCGATTTGCTGTAATGCATTCAGTCATATGATCACCACTTTATCTGCTCTCCCGTTTAAGTTAGAAGCATAGAGAAGAATCCGTCATGCATCATTGACGAAATTTATGAAGGCATTGCATGATTCAAATGAACAATATTCAAAGCATCATATGGAAAGAGCTCTGCGCACCCAACACATGGATGTTCATCACGTATTCCTCAACAACCATATCTGCGGGAAGATGTTGCCATAAATACAACAGGCATTATTCAAATATCTCAGGAGTGCATCATCAAAACAAAACAGAATATTTTAACTCCTAAACGAAGCACCATACCATTTCAGTACTGGGTAGCTACTTCAAAAGAGTCCCTATAGTAATAAATAGTATAGTCAGTGTGAAGCACCCTCAGAATCTACTCGTCGAGTCAGTTTTCAGACTAACTGACAATCTGAAAGGGTTGGAAGACGACGAGAAGAATTTGAATGCAGAGTTGGACAGCATAGTATTGGGATAATCAGCATTGGCATTACAGCATGGTATACGATAAACCTCATCCTGAAACACCAACAAACTAAACAGAACCGAAGAACAAGTCGATGCGAAGACAAAAAAGACAAGTTTGCAATACAATCTTTGGGTTCGTCCATTCTGTATAATTACGAATTATACATAAAAATTCAATTCCATTAAAATTTAAATCTTTACTAAATCTAATTAAGGGTTATTATTTATTTTCCATGTAAGGATTAATATTTGATTACAATAAACTTACCTTCTATAGGCTTTATTCTTGTAGTAAATTGAACGATTTCTTTTCAGTTCACGTTTTCTTCGTACACTCGACATTTTTTGTCCTGCACTTTCAATTTTGTTTTTAGCTGCCACAGTTTTCAAGTCTAAACTGTCTAAAATTACCAGATTTATTTGCCAAAAATTTGGAAATATCAATAAGTGAAATGGTCCCACATGGCGGCCGGAATTAGCTTAACGACGTTTTGTTCTGAAAATAGCTTCTAAATATTTAATCAGCCAGTTTTAGCTGTTCATTATAATTATTGAAATTTTGATTAGTTAAGTTGTTTAATGACTAAGTACTTAATCCTTTCAAAAATAACTTATTTTCCAAGCAATTTTGTTTATAAATTATTATATTTTTCCTGAAAGTTTATTCAGCTTTTAAAATGAGGAATGCGTATTTCCCTTTAGAACGGTATTTAATTAACCCTTTTTTGCTTTAGGCATAATTTAAAACTTCTTAGAAATTAGATAATGACTATAGATTAATTATTAGTATTATGGGTATCAAAAAAATATTTCCAATTTGCACATTTTCCGACACGTGCCTGCTGTCAACAATGTCGAATTATTCTGATTATTTTGTTAGAGCTTCAAGCCAAAACCAGACTCAAACAAAATAAATGGATTTTTCGTTGAATGTAATTCACATATAGGAAGCCCAAATATAACAAATATTTATCATCGATTACAGAATTAAAATGAAAACAAAACCGCATTCACATTACTAAAACATTAATAAAGTCGCGATCGCATAATTATAGTACGGACAATTTTCCGTATCTACCTATCGACGGTTCAGTACTGAATTAGAAAACCGCGAACGCCCGCATAGAAAAAACGTAAAACGTTTTTTGTTTAAACAGCTTATCTGCATAAACACCGGCCGAATTAATACCCTCGTCGTAAAACTTGGTTGTATACATCAACATCTAACAGGAAACGAAAAAAACAAACGAGACTTTTTGCTTTGAGTCAGTTTTAGTTGTTTTGTAAAAATTTATTTTCAATCCTTGATGTTGATAGGTGAATAATAAATTTATAAAAATCTGTATATTTATAAAGGAAGACATAGGTACTCTAGAACCTTAGAAATGTATGGAGAAATGCTAGAATAGAATTTAACAAAGCCAGAAACGTCAATTTCTGAATGAGAAGTAAAAAAATTTACCAGAAATTGACGTTATAGCGGGCAGTCGGTGGTTCAACCTCTATCTGCTCTGAATTGAGGGACTGTTAAATTTACTCGGGAAATTTAGAAAATGGAAAAGCACAAACACTACTCCAGAGACTAGAGTGAAATTATTATTGGCAACCGAAGCATTCTGGTTTTACAACTAGTTTTCTGGAATGAGTAAGGTCTCTTGGTACTAGGGTTACTAGGGTCACCATCATCCTTTTCATCTATAGCATGTCTTATAGTAGTGGATGATGACTTTTTATTTTAAACTTCACCTGCATTGTATAATATCACTAATATTTGCCTATTGCCACTAAAATGAAACGCGCGTCTTATACAATGTAGTACCGCTCTGCTGTTCGTATCTCGAATGACTTCTGACTCACACTCCCCGCCCAGCAAATCGATATTTCTTTATTCTCAAGTTAGATAATACATAAACATTTCTTTAAGGGTAGGTACCACGTACATTTTATACTTGACATGCGTAACTTAACAATACCAATACATTTATAAAGTCTATACACTACAGTCTGCAACTGAAGTTGTATCTCGGGGTCCCCCACGCTTTCGAAGAGGTCTTACTGGATTTGGGTCCTCATTCTGACAAGACCTAAACGGCGTCAAAGCTGATACATGGTACCACTTCCCCAATATAGTATGCGGAGCCTGGGGTGAGAAGATTTCATAAAAGGTAGGCGATACGATTTTGGATACTACATAGAAACCACTTTGCTTTGGTGCAAATTTTGAAGTGTACGAGTCTTTGGCCCTACTTAGGACATGTGAGTTGACCAGCACTTTATTTCCACACGAGTATTTGGGAACGTCATGAAGGCTTTTATCTGCATAGTATTTTACTCGATGTTGCTGGATCTCGTGATGGTCACGGGTTTTTCGGAGTGTGTTACTGAGGCATTGCAAGTACGGAGTTATTTGACTTATAGAGTTTTCATTTTCTACAATGGCACGAAGGTTTCGATCGTCTGGAGTCTTCAATTCTTTCCTGAAAGTAAGATAGGCGGCGCTGAAACCTATGGCTTGTGGTCGGCTGGTATTCATTGAAAACCTAATGGCTGGTAGCTTATCTCTCCATTGTGTATGGTCATCTTGCACCAGAATAGAAAGTTGGGTCACTATTTTTTCTCTCAACCGGATTTGCTGCAGGATGATAGGCTGGAGTTAATGTCTGCTTAAATCCGAGGCAATGTGCAACTTGCTGCATTATTGAGCTAACGAACTGAACACTGTTGTCACTACCCATCGGTTTGATGTATCTTCTGTGATAAATATCCATCTGTAATTATCTTTGGTCTCAGGTAAAGGTCCGAATAGATCTATTGATATTCTTTCAAAACGTTGGGACTAAACAGGAGGTTGAGGTTGTCCTGCTGGCTTTAAATTTGAAATTTTGTATCTTTGGCATTCAACACACTTGTTGACATGTTGTCGGCTATATTTCTGCGCATACCTGGCCAGAAATAGCGACTGGCTATTCTTTGGTGAGTACGCTCTATTCCATAATGACCACGTAACGGTGAGTCATGATATTTGAATAATATCTGGGGAATTTGTGATTTGGCACAACTTGTTGTGCTTCTTCTTTGTCCAACTAAGTACCTTTAAGGTACAGTACACCATTATTATCCTCGTTCGGTCCATTTCTTAAAGTCGAGATTATCTTTGTCCATATTCTCAAAAGTCTGTATTATCTTGTTAATATCTAGGTCATTCAACTGTTCTTGGCAAATTGCAGCACCATTTTCTCGTGGAAAATCCACGGTTACCAAGTTTGCTTTCATTTCTTGGTCTGGTGGTCGTGATATCATATCCGCAATGACATTAGTTCGGCCTGGTGTATAGTTAATCTGAAGATCAAAAGATTGAAGTGCCAAAGCCCATCTGGCGATTTCAATGTCACTAGCCATCGCAATGGTTGATGATCACTTTTGACAACAACTGATGCACACTCTAGGTAACCACGAAATTTAATGGTTACGGCCCATACAACAGCTAAAGCCTCTCTTTCTTTGATCATATTTTTTTGTTCAGCAGGTGTAAGAAGCCGACTTACGTATTCAATGGGTCGTTCGTCTGTATCGTCCCCCTGAAGCAGACATGCTCCAAGAGCATAGGAAGAGGCATCAGTCTTCAGAATATAGGGCTGACGGCTCGGATTGGACTGGAAGTAAGCAATGACTGTAACTTTTCAAATGCTTAATTTTGACTATGGCTCCAGGTCCAAGTAGGTTTCTTCTTTGTTAGCATTGTTAACGGTTTAGAGATATTTGCAAAATTTTCAATGAATCGTCTATAACATAAGCAGGTTTGTGAAAATTACAGAAGTACCTCAACGTCTCGTGGCACTTGTATTTTCAAAATAGCAGTAATCTCAGGATTTGGTGCAATACCTTGCGGTGTTATCACATGTCCTAAATACTGTACCAAAGATCAAGAAAATCTGCATTTCTTGCGATTTAGGCGAAGTTTAAATAATCTCAAGTGTTCAAACACTTCTTGTAGATTATCAATACGGGATTCAAAGGGATCAGACTAGATTATTATATCATCAAGATATGCTAATAGATTAATATTTTGAAGGCCTGAGCGAAATGTGTTAATTAGCCTCTGGAAGGTAGATGGCGCATTACACAGTCCAAAAGGCATTCTTGTGTAGCGTTACGTTCCAAACGGGCAGTAAATGAAGTCTTATCTCGATCACAGAGTAAAGATAGTGAAGCTGAAAATGCACAACAAGAGGAATCTGAAGTTGTTCCAGAAACCGACATTTTTGAGAGTGAAGAGGAAACCAACGACAATCGACAAGATTACGAGGAAATTGAAAATGTGAACAATGACGTGGTTGTCGTGGTTAATGAGCCATCTACGTTCGGTACTCTTATCCAGAAAAATGAGGAAAAATGATATGCCAAACGGAATAAGGTATCTGTAACTGAGGCCGGTTAATCACATCCCTGTGTCTAAAAATAGCAGAGAGCAGTACAGAAGCCTTTGGATGATGATCTTTATCATTTTTATATGTCTATGTATCAGATAACAAAAAAATGCCTTCTAAGTTTCAACATCTTGCAAGAACTAATGTGTTTCAAGCTATAGCGCAAGTAATAGCTGCATATCTATGACTTAAGAATCCGAGTCAATAAAACGATTATCATACTGGACAAAGAGCTTTTCCATATACATATGTTAGCACGCATAGTCCACAGCCCTATTACTCTCACTCGTTAATATCTCTTACATTTCCAAGTTAAAGCTCTCGCAGTAGCTAGCATATTGAATATCAAGTTACAGTAACCCTCCAACCTCTCTTCCCAATAGCTCCTATCCGAACGTTTCAAGACCACTTCCTTCACTCTCGAATACCTACGACTTACAATCTGGCAGCAATTCACCCATTACACCCACCTCTTACTTGCTTGGTGCAACAACACCTCTTGAACCTGCTAATATCGGTGATGTTCGAAATTTTTTTCACAATTTTTCAGAATGTTGATTATTTGAACTGAATGCTAATGCTATGAATAAAAATATTATCTTAAACAAATGGCTAGTTTTTCTTCAGTTTCTATGGGTTTTTGAGCATTACAACCATCTGAATATATACAATTTTCTATCGTATTATGTACTTCATCAAATTGCTCTCTGCTTAACTGAAAATAATGTGGAAAAACAGGATCAGAAAATTCAGATGATAGTGCAAATTCTCTGTTAGTATTTCTCCTTTTCATATAGTGGCTTTTCCAAAGTGATTTTGTTGTTTAATAGAACTGTTTCTTCAAATTCTGCGACCAACTCTGACCCGGAACTATCCAAAAAAAAGCCATGTTCAAAATTGGAAGAAAAAAGATCTTTTTATGTATATCTGTATTCGCACTCGCACGTCAAAATTTTATAACAGTAACTGCCCAAAACTGCTGAATATGCGCTCACACTGCGTAGCACGTACTTTTCCTGAACTGTGTCAACCTGCCCTGCCCTATGTCACCTGCGTCTCAATGTGTGGCTTGCTTTGACACCTGATGATAACCAGACTTAAAATCTAGTGTTGTCATGTAAAGTGTCTTCTTTGCTGCATGGAGAATGTCGTCAATCCGTGGCAACGGATACCTAACTCGCGTCGTTTTAACATTGAGCCGGCGATAATCAACGGTCAGCCATCTTTCTTGGGAACCAGAACTATAGGAGCAGCGTAAGGAGATTCCCATTCTTCAATTATCCCTTCCGTAAGTAGGTTGTCAATTTCTTGCTATAACTGGATCCTTTTGGTCTCAGACAGGCGATAAGGAGGAACGTCAACATGTTCTGCAAAAGGAATTGGTCCTACACTGATATTGAAAAGATCTTGGCTTGCCTTAAGCATCTTGTTGAATGTATGATTTTCGCTTGGCGAAAGGTTTAAACCTTCATCCTGTCTAATATCGATTGAACCACTAATTTCGACAGAACTGGTTGTAGTTTCTTGAAGGTAAGTAGGTTTAATTGGTTCCGACTGAAACTTGTAGCTTATTTCAGGTTCATCGCTATAGAACCATGAATCATTGGGAACATCCAGAATAATATTTGCTGATTTAAGAAAATCTGCCCCTAGAAGTGTTCTGCTTTCCTTATGATCTGGGAAAGAAATCATGGTAACATGATGACTCCTATTTTTCAAGACAACTTCACATCAAAATAAAAGGCATTTACTGTAGAAGTTCTACCATCTACTAAACTCATATTTAAATTTTCCTGATGATAAGGGACTTTTTCTAATAGGAGTATTTCTCTTAAGTGGGAACTAGCGATAATTGATTGAGCACCGGAGTCGAGATACGTAAGTCCTTGATGACCTTCAATAGTTGGTTACAAAGGTAAGTGGGCGAATGGAAGAATCAGAGTGAGCCAAGTATGAACTAATAAATTCGGCAACCGGATTGTCCGAGATAGTCTGTTCAACTATATGAGCTGCTTCGACAAGCGCTTTAAAAGTTTTTACACTCTTACGCAAACCTTGTATTTTACACGTACGTTTAAAAGACCATACACCATGTCGAGTTGTATATGTTCGGAAACAGCTGAGTCACGTTTAACAGAAATCACATTTCACAATTCTCGAAGGCCTTACGTTGGGCGCCAATCTGTGGTAGGCAGTCGGTGGTTCAATCTCTATATGCTTTGAATCGAGGGACTGTGTAATTTACTCGGGAAAGTTACAAAATGCAAAGGCGCAAACACTTCACCGGAGACTGACCAAATAACTTTATTTAAACGTACGAAAGTTACAACACACTTCAACAAACGTCATTTAATAAATATCCATATGGGTGACCTGCTTGGAGGGTTATGTTACAACGTTTCTTTTTAAAAGTGTCCAAATTGGACTACCCTGTACATCCAACAGAGCAAGGCTCTAATATCAATCAAGATAACTTTTTCCTTCGGAGAAAAAATTCTTTAAAAGTTTTATTTCGGCATAAATAAAAACATTTCTTAATTATTTTTTTAGGTCTTTTTAATTACCTCTATACCTACCTCTCTGCGCGCTTTCAATTAAAACTTTGAGATTTTGCTGATTACATAATAGGCAATTTAAAAGTTTTCTGATAAAAGTGCGGGCCTGATGAAACCAAAAATAAAAGAACTATAAAAAAATATAATTTTATTACACAAAACTAAACTAAAAGTGTAACATAAGCAAAAAAATAAAGTATAAAAACGAATAAAACCTGGTTCCTTTGTAGATTTGGAACCAGGTGGTAACTAATAACAATACAGTTCCATTCCCATTTATCGTGTTCCTCTAATCCCTACAACAATAATCATGCGATAGTTCTCATGCGCTAGTTTTCATGCGACACCTATCGTACCTATTCATACCAGCCGCAGCGGACGGAGCTGTCATGGCCAACGCCTTGTAGCGCGCCTGCTCGTGAGTCGGTAATACTATGTCGACAGATCGCGATCTGAGTGCGACATTAGGTCCAACGGGTACTTCCAAACTAACACCGGAATGTTGCAGTTCTTCCGTTTTCTTTTCGGGTACTTTCGAGAAGCAGGAGTCCACTGAGGCGGCACGGTCTCGTTTCAAATCTGGAACCTGAAATCAAATAGTGTTATTGAGTGGATATTTCAATGATACTGCGTGTATGAAAGATTTACTATGTATTCACTTTTGCCGACGTGTTTGGAACGCCCAAAAAATTGCAAATGTCACTTGTTTTTTTTTTTTTCTTTACATAAATAATTTTTACATTTTATAATTTTATATAATTGGCGCTTTCTTTTGTACTACCTTGATCTATTCGACCCTAGTACTTCGTTGCTCTTTAACCCCGTTAATAGTTTTCGAACGTAGTACTTTTCACATAGCTAAGGGTTGACAGATTGATAGGTTGTCAAGTGAAATCTATTTAGTGAATTATCGATTACCGTTCTCGTGGAAAAAGTATCTTATCGGCCTTCAGGCATTATCGTAACGAAATAAAGTTGCGTAGAGCAATAATCCATTGATTACCGAGAAAATTTAAATGATAAGTCTCATGATTACCGTTTTATTCAAGTTTGAATTTCGACCCCACTCGTGGAAAGTTTCTTTAATTTTTTTAAAAGTAATGGTTGTTCATGGAATGCCTTATTACTTAGGATCTTTTGGAGAGCCGTTTCTCTCGGCAAGTCCATTCCAAAAAGGCCACATTTTCAATAGTAACACCATTTCCGTGGAGTGTGGCATAGAGCTTTTGAAGGGATTCCTTCCCTACAAGAATTAAGACCCTCACAAGTCGATACGTGTGCCCCACATTTGACGACAATTCTAGTACCTTATCTACCTGGATTCTGGGCTGTAATCCGCAAGTTCCATGTGAGGTTCCCTTCGTCAAGTGACCGAGACTGGATGGCTACCGACTACCGTAATCTACCTTTAAATTCTAAAGTTTCAATGTCATTCATTATTCTTGACACCTGAGTGAACTCTATTTTTTTTTTTTTTTTACCGTATTTACTATAGATTTTTTTTACCTAACTTTTAGTACCGGCATATTTGAATAGTGTACCTGTTTCTTATCTTTTAATAATCATAGTCATTGATCTGAACTGAGGTCAAGCTTGGACACTGTGTTCTGGTGTTGAAATTTTTGAGTAAGTGTCTATGACGCCAAAAATTGATCAATTTTTTCTCTGGGTTATATTACTTATAAACTCCTTTATACCTTCAACATTTAACCTTTGATTTCATACAGGTACAATTTGATTCTATTGAATTTATATTTTTTTTTTCACAGAAGCTGACCATATTTATCAATACAATTTTCAATCATTCTTTTTTTTTTTAATTAGCCTTCTGAATCTTTATATTTTCTCTTGAAATTGATAATATGACAGGCGACTGTTAATGAACTTATATGGCAACTATATGTATTAAGGGACAGGGTGTTTCCTTATATTTTGACCCCTACTTACAGCTTTAGCTATACGAGGTGGAAAAAAACTTTAAATATGAAAGTTGTAGGGTTTTATGTCTATTATTTTTTGCAAATGTCAAAATGGGCAAATGACAGGTGGCTAGAATGATAGATTTGGGGGTTGGAATCAGGGTTTGGTTGAGTTGTGTGCCTTATTTATTTCCTTTTCAGAATAACCAATTACCGTTTGCATTTTTTTTTAGGTGTGTTTCTGAATTTTCACGTCCCATATTTTATGCAATTTTGTTATTATTTTTATTTTCAAAAATTCAGTGGCGCCCTTGCCATACTGTACTTAATAAACTATCAACCCACCCCTAATAATTATTCGCTGAGCAAACCGAGCATATTATGAGCTTCTTGTTAATTCATAAACAAAAGGGGTTGCAGAACTTGGAATCAAATAGTAGAAGAGAAACATTTTCTTCGTTCTAGTTAGATTTTCAACAAATTAAACTTGATTTACATACTGATGCAGGTCAAGATTTAAAAAAAAAAACCTTCAACATTTGAGATGACAATATTTCTGTTGTCCAACATATCTATTTGCTCACTATATACCTATTCGGATTTTCCTACCAGCCAGATATAATGTAGAAAATCTAAAATTCAATCTATTTTTGTTTGAAAAGTACACATCCGTATACCTTCCATTTGGCATTTTCCATATTTGCCTAAGATGAATTATAAAATATGAAAATACGAAATAATACATTGGCATGTCTTCGTTTGTTTTTCTCTTGGAACGAAAATTTCCTTCCCATATTTCCAAGAAAAATATCATAGAATCAGAGATTTTTACGAAAGTTTCTTTATTTCAGGTTATTGATTTGAATCAAGGCGGGCCAAAGTTTGGACTGGAACTGTTTCGAAAAGTATAAAACTTTCGAGTGCTGGCCTAGCAGTGATGGTACCTGGGTACTGAGCGTTATAGACCGCCTGTCGGAGTAATGCCTCTGGGTACCGGAAACAATCTTGCCAGAGCAGTTGGATAGGGTGGACTCAGTGGTAAAACTTGTTTGATGTTTAAAAAAATACCCTGAAAACCATGCGCAAAAAGAATGAAGATGATACACGAAAAATTTACAAGAGAAAATATCAGATCCAAAAATGAAACTGAGACCGAGGAGGCAATTGAAGAAATTGAAAAATAGCAAATCTAACAGAAGGAAGTGGAAATGCTGGAAGAAAGAGGATAAACTATCCGATCAACACTGAAGAGAGAATTCAATTAATGTCTAGAAAGTGCTAAAGTAACAAAGGAAAGCCTCGTAGTTTTGCTCTCCAAATAAAATGAGAGGATTTTTATCAGAAACTATCGTCAGATTTGGATATTATCCTAAATATACAAGGTCTTCATGAAAATCATCATAAATACAACAACAATCTAAATTTTGAATCATTTCCAGGTTCTGGTTCGAGCTAAAGCCGCTTGTCTCTGGAGATTCTACTCCTTCTCCTGATTAAATAATGCCATTTGGGATCCTCAACCTTGCATAGAGGGATGCCTTGTCTGTAATTCTGACTAAAAACGCTTGTCTCTGGAGATGCTACTCCTGCTTCCTGATCAAATAGTGCCATTTGGACTCACAAATGCCCCCGTAACCTTTTAAAGAGGAATGCTTTGTCTGTAATTCTGACTAAAACCGCTTATCTCTGGAGATTCTACTCCTTCTCCTGATTAAATAATGCCATTTGGGCTCACAAATGCCCCCGCAACCTTTCACAGAGGAATGTCTTGTCTGTCATTCTGACTAAAAACGCTTGTATCTGGAGATACTAATTATTAACTAATAGTGAACAGGCTGGTCTCCGTCCTGTTTCAAGTACTTCTCATCATCTCCTATTCATAAGCATTCTCAGGAAAAAAATCCAACTAATAGGTACCTGAAAATCTATGTGTTTGTGTAAATCACTTCGTATCTTCTGTGTCTTTTGTTCAATTGCTTTGAATTTCTGGTATGTCCTGCTCTAATACATTGTAACGGAGTTACCAGATTTTTTCCGAAAATGTGTGCGTCTCTGACTTCAATCAAATTAATTAATTGACTTTAATTCAACTATGATGAGGTAATGTTTTTACCTGATTATCGTATTTTTAATTATTTGTGTAACTTAAACCACATAACTTTTCTTTGGTTTTAAGAAGAAGCGCGGCTTTCTTGAATTTCTCCGAAATATTATTGATTTCTAAATATATTATTTTACGCGTGACCTCGGAGCAAATAGCAGTTTGGCTGGTCGCACGCTCGAGGCTGCATCGCTGGCTTTGGACCTATGGTAGCCGAAGCGCGCACCATGGTATTTTCTCCCACGAAGCTTGCCCTTTCATCGTCGAGCGTTTTCCTTACAAACGAACGGCGTTGGGTTAAGTCAGTCCGGCCCGAGTTCACCAACTAAGTAGACGCTTCCGACTTCCACCGAATACCGAGGTAGGCCTTCTCTCCGAAATACCGACTGGTACTTGTTTCACCGCTACGCGAGTAAGTTATTTTTCATTATTACTTGGTTGGTAAATTATATTTTTGTTTTTCTGTCACGGTTCATTTGGACGGACAGATTTTAAGATTCTATAGACTATCACGGTTTATGTGTACGGATAGTTTTGGCTAAGATATTTATTTTACAAAGTAAAGTTCTATAAACTATCACGGTTTATGTGTACGCATAGTTTTCGCTAAGATATTTATTTTTACAAAGTAAAGTTCTATAAATTGTCACGGTTTATGTGTACGGACAGTTTTCTCTAAGACATTTATTTTCACAAAGTTTAAAGTTCTATAGCTGTCACGGTTTACGTGTACGGACAGTTTCTCTTCATCTATTGGTTCATGTTTTAGTGTCACGACATAGTGTAAAGTTCTATAAACTGTCACGGTTCATGTGTACGGATAGTTTTCTCTTAGACTGTTTTACTGTGATGTTAGTATGCCCTAAGTTATTTATTTATTTATTTGTTATTATCATTTTTAGCTAAATTAGTTTTAATTTATATTGTTACATTATATTTGTAAAATTTATATTTGTAAATGGCTGGTTCCGTAAATAAACATATTATTATATTATTATTATTATATTATTTATACTCTCACGGTTCATGTGTACGGACAGGGCTTTATTTCCACCGCCGGCCGTTGCGGTTGATTCTAACCGATTCAAGGTTACCGTATTGACCAACCAAGTAAATTCATGTCTGTATCCGAAATGTCTTACTTAAGTGTGAAACGGGTACATCAGTATTTGAACTAGTTAAAACCGTTAAGATCTAACCGCTTTTGTATTGCATGACCGCTTCTTAGTTTCTGTTGCTCACCGCTTGCTTGACCGCTTCTTATTTTCTGTTACTCACCGCTTGCTTATAAACCGCCCGTTATCATAAATCTACACGCACGCACACATACACATTTTCACTCTCTCCATTGCACGCCCGCTTCATTCACTCTATTCACTCTGCTCAAGGAATGTTATATTTTACTATAGGAATTGCCTTATGGACATACATTTATAGCAATAAATACCAGAACTTAATCGTGATTTCATGTGTCTTCTTTTGGAGTTTTCTGGAAGATTTACAGGAGGTATAGAAGAAATAACTTTCAGCATCTGATTCGACCCCTGATCTCCACTGTAACAAGCTACCTGGTGCACGTGGGTCCTCAACCACAATAATCCTGAGGGTGGCGCCCGAGATAACCGTTAAAGCAAGAAAAGGAAAAACCGAAAGGGCGCTACAACCTCATAAAAATTCCAAAAAAAAAATTCATATTTTTAGTTTTTATAGTTTTTGAGAAATTATCCCATTTATGTGAGATTGTCATATTTCATTCCTTCAAAAAAAAAAAGGGTGAATCACTTTGTATCTTTTGTGTCCTTTGTTCAATTGCTTTGAATTTTCGGTATATTCTGCTCTTATGTCTTATAAAGGATAGCAGAAAATTTCATATTTGTGGCTATTATAGTTTTTGAGAAATTACCACATTTATGTGAGATTGTCATATTTCATTCCTTCAAAGACTATCTATTTGTATAAATCACTTTGTAACTTTCGTGTCCTTTGTTCAATTGCTTAGAATGTTTGGTATGTTCTGGTGCCTTATAAAGGATTCCAGAAAATTTCATCTGTAGCTTTTATAGTTTTTAAGATATTATTCAATTTATGAAAGATTGTCATATTTAATACCTCAAAAACTATACTTATTTGTGTAAATCACTTTGTATTTTTCGTGTCCTGTGTTCAATTGCTTTGAACTTTTTGGTATGTTCTGCTCTAGTGTCTTATAAAAGGATTTTAGAAAATTTCATATTTGTGGCTTTCATAGTTTTTGAGAAAATTACTCCATTTATATCGATTGTCATATTTCATTCCTTCAAAAACTATGTATTTGCATACCTAAATCACTGTGTAACTTTCGTGTCCTTTGTTCAATTGCTTTGAATTTTTTGTATGTCCTGCTCTAATGTCTTATAAAGGATACCAAAAAATTTCATTTCTATAGCTTCTATAGTTTTTATGATATTATTCAATTTATGGAAGATTATCATATTCAATACCTCAAAAACTATATACATGTATTTGTGTAAATCGCTTCGAATCTTTTGTATTCTTTGTACAATTGCTTTGAATTTTTGGTATATCCTGTTCTAATGCCTTATAAAGGAGTCCAGCAGATTTCATATTTGTAGCTTTTATAGTTTTTAAGATATTACTCAATTTATGGAAGATTGTCATATAAGTTCGCCAATGAAAATTGAGAGAGACCTATTCTCAAAGATTGATGATAACAGAAGAAGAAAAAGAAGAAGATCATGTTTTTCATATCCGAATTCGCTCAGAAATTGAAGTTTCCTATTGAAAGTGTCCAAATTGGACCACTCTGTACTTGCCAAATGTGAGGGAATTTAATTCCAAATCCAGATTTGGGTGGCTATTGCCTATTGTTACCTTATGCTTCTATTGATAGTTCATCAGCATTTTTACATGCTTTTGTGTGGAAACTCATGATTATTGATAAGCACGAATTCAATTTTCTAATAAATCTTGTATTTCACAGTCTTGTATTAATATATTTTTTTTCCAACATTCAAACCTTCTCTCCCCATCTTTATATTTTTTTTAATGGCACTCAACGTAGAAATAAATGAAGGGCAGAATTTTCCTTTCGGGCCCTTAACGCGTCCCTAGCAATAAGTTAATTAAAATTAATCATCCTAGAAGCGGCAGAGACGCAAGATAATTTTTATCGCCTCGTTTATTATTAAGTGATTTATGTGTCTTGGAGTTGAGATTAAACTTACTTGCAAATAGATGTCGCTGACGACCAAACCAGGTATTGTGGTACGATGTACGTCACCTTCTGATAGGGCACCCTCCGAGGTACCTTCCGAAATCGGTTCCGAGGGCGCGTCCGACATGTTTTCGAGCGAATTTCCTGTGGGTTCGGCGAAAAAAGCTTCTTGGCGATGGATGGATTTTCGTCTGGAACAAACACATTGAAATATGCATGATTCGTTTAAAAATTAAAATAATTTTATTTGTCCAAAACAAAGCAAATACGAATGTATTTTTATGGCAAGCTACCACGCAAATTGTACAAATTTTAATAAAATATATTTCAGCAAATAATGTACGGGTACAACCAAAATTTTTCGATGAAATTTAATTAAAACCGAATGTTGTTTTTGGATGAAATTTTTGTTTGTTTAATCAGGGACAATATTTAAACATGGAAAACAACTTAACTAAGTTTTTGTTTCGATTTATTGTCTGTTTTTTATAATTAGATGGTACACATTAATGCAATATTGATGAAAAATTCTTACCTAGTCTGAGTTGGTGTCAGCGGTACTTCCGGCTCAGCTTCAGCAGGAAAAAACTCGATAATTGGCGAAGATGGTATCGGAGGCGGCGACGCAATGGACGGCGATTGTAGCGTCGGTAATAACGTAACAGTAAGTACAAATTCCGGAGGATCAACGCTATTTTCCCTACTATTATCCGTGTAACTATTTTCGCGACTATAGTCCGTTGTATCTTGACTGCAATTCGTCGTGTTTCGACTGCATTCCGTTGTATCGCGACTGTTGTTGATTTCATCGTCGTCCGAGTCGTCTTCTTCTTCGCTAGACGAGTCGGTGATGTAAGGCAACCATTCGGGATGTCCCGGTGCTAGTTCTTCGGGAGGATGAAGCCTATCATATTCTTCTTTGCATACACAATGAATACATATCTGAAATAAGATAATGAGACTATGTTGATAAAGTAGGATGTAAGTAGAGACAAAATTAAATAAAATATCATTTGATCCACATCCGGACTTAGCCTTGTAGCGTATTGCAAGTTGACTAGGACTTCTAGTTCAATATCGTATTTACTGAATAGGATACCTACATGTGGCCACATAGGAAATTCAAATTCCACGTAAATCGACTTTGAAGGCGTACTCTATACTTATTAACTTCAACTTCCAAAGATAAACGTGTATCATACTCTTGCAAGTTAACATTCAAATTATGAAACTCAACATTTAAATTACGAATTGAATGAGTCGACCCCCAAAATACTGGATATATAAACGAAATTCAAATAAGTTTAGGATTTTTCTGTTGCTCTTTACTTTTTACTAGGGTTTGTTTTTGTTGGTTGATTAATTTGTTAAATGTCTACAGGAAAACCAGATTCTCTATACATACAGTTGAATTAAATATTCGAATGTTCACTAAACACATTGAAACGAAAATTGAATAACGTCTATTGAGCTCGTGATGTTCTCTCGGGATTCAAAAACAATAGCGCAGCTTGTACTATTGTTTAGGCCTCGCGTTTGAATGAAACAAACCCCAATCAATAAGTGAAACCAAGCAAATTCTAGGCATTTAGGTACGAGATCGAACCTGATTTTCTTCCCTTTTATTCAGACTTTTTGTATAAAAAACTTCAAAGAGAATTCAACTACTACAAAATGTTGTTTCTCTTATTTGATATCTTCTACATGACTTTTCGTGACTCGTATTTACTTAGGTAACGAATCAGAAGGTAAATACTGAAACCGTGAAGATTTTTTTATTTATATATATATATATTCAATTTATAAAGTAAGTTCTTTACCGATTTGCCACCTGACGATCGTCTCCTTTGAAATCGTCGAGAGGGCACCTCCAAAAAGTTGCCCGACTCTTCTGATCCTCCCGAGTCGACGCTGCGCGACCTCTGATCCAGTTGTGGCACTCCTAGGAGACCCGGAGAGTCTACCGAGCAACCGCCCTGAAGACGCTTCGCCTCCAGCTGGATTTCGTCGAAAGAGGCCGAACGAATCTGAAAAAGAAACTTAAAGTTAGAAAATATTCAAATATGTATGTTAATATTTCAAGATTTAACAAGAATGAATATTATAAGCAATTTTCATAGGGATTCGGAAAATAGCGAAGACATTAGCAGCAAGCAAATACCAGAACTAGCAGAATCATAAGGAAAAACAACTATGAATATTGTAGAATCAAAATGTGACGAATCTAATCAGAATATTTTTCAAATCAAAAAGTAACAGAGCAAGAGTTGAATATACAATCCACTGCCCTTCCATCATGAAGTTGTATGTATAATGTGGAAATGATTGTGTTTTGTGAGACAATGGAGAGAAAATCCAGCTACCATTCATAGTATAAGTACTTCGCTAGCTACAGACTCGTTTCGAAGATGGCACCACTTGCTATTCAAGTTCTTTTGACTATCTATTTTCCTCTACACAGACCAAGAACCAAGAATGAACTATGGATTAACAAGTTTGGTATCCTCTAGCTTCCAGCATTCAAAATAAACAGGCTAATTTCCAAAAACGTTTCTATTATAAAAACAATCAATAATAGATAACAAATATTACTTAGTAACGATTACTATATAGTTCTTTTTCCTAAAACAAAAACTACATCACCTCATATACCATCACCTATATCAATCTAACCTAACTAGAACAGAGTCTATTCAGAAAACTTAATCTGTTGGAATTGTTTACTACAACATCCCCCTGCAATTCCACAACAACAACAACAAATTGTATGTGAGCAATGCAATAATGTTAGTGAAAATATTTAATAATTTTAAACTATTTCCACAACATTAAGTTTATCTCTAAAATAGTTGAACTTTACTTTGTCTAAAGGTTTTGTAAAAACATCTGCAATTTGTTCATCTGTTGGCACATTGAATTTTTCTGATTTATATAAATTCTTATAATATTAAGTCCTGAAAATGTTAATTTCTCTTTACTAGTTAAATCTCCCATTTGAAAAGGTTTCATCAATTTTTGCTTAAACTCAATCAATCTTGTTTCAGATTCTGACAAAATTATTAAATCATCAACATGTATCAACAAAAACATTTCATCATTTTAATATAAACAAGGATCTGCGAAAGATCTTACCAAACATATGATGATCAAATGTTAATAAAGTTTATCATACCAGCATTTAGGTCATTGTCTTAAACCATATAAAGATTTGTTTAGCTTGCACATACTTCCCTCTGGAATTTCTTTTAGGCCTTTTGGCACTTCCATATAAACCGGTTGTTTCAATACACCATTGAGAAATGCGCACTTGAAATTAAGTTGATAGATTTTCAAGTCTAAGTGATAAGATAATTCTTATGGTTAACATCCTTGCGACTGGTGAATATATTTCTTCTTGCAAATCTGATTGCTTAAAACCTCTTGCTACAAGTCTTGCCCATTCTATCAGTTTTCAATCTCTTTCTTTTTCTGTGAAAATCATTATCAATCTATCAACTTCAAGTATTCGCTTCGCTTTTCTCTCTTCAGTAAGAGTTATATAAGGATCCTTGGTTTGCTTACCTTTCAAGCATATTTCACAAACTCCTTCATATGGACAGAATGTCCTATTCGTCTATACCATGAATTATTGTCAACAGTTGCTGGATTTTCTTCTGGGTTTCCTTGCTTTTGATTTTGTATCAAGACCTTTTTATTTTCAAACACCACCCTCAGACCTTTTTCTTCTAGAATTTTGACAGACAATAAGTTACGAGTCAAACTTTCATACTCAAGGATATTCTCTAAAACATTTTTTCTACCATTTTCAGCCTCAACATGCAAATAACCTTTTCTTTTTGCTATGATAACTTCATCCTCTGTTGCTATTCTTATTCCATGATTCCCTTCTTCTACATTCGTAATTTTTTTTCCTACAGTTGAGTTAACAGGATGATTTGTAGCACCGCTGTCAACATTGATGTTCCTGAATTTCTCTTGATTCTGGTTTTCACTGGATCAATTTGAAATTTCAGTGATAAGCTCCTCACTCTTCTATTTTCATTCCAAAAGTCTCATAAATTTCCTCTCAATAGTGCTCCAGAAACGTATTGAAACATAAGAAGGTTCAAGTTCTTTAATTTAATATTTGTAAATTGATGTTCCTAAATGTCTCTTGATTTTGGTCTTCACAGGATCAATTTGAAATTTCGGTATGATAAGCTCCTTACTCTTCTCTTTTCATTCGGAAGGTTTCATAAATTTCAACTCAATAGTTTTCTAGAAAAGCATTGAAACGTAAAAAGGTTCAAGTTCTTTAATTTAGTATTTGGAAATTGATGTTCCTGAATGTCTCTTGATTTTGGTCTTCACAGGATCAACTTGAAATTTCGGTATGATAAGCTCCGTTCTCTTCTCTTCTCATTTCAAAAGTTTCATACATTCCCACTCAATCGTTTTCTAGAAAAGCAATGAAACGTAAAAAGTTTCAAGTTCTTTAATTTAGTATTTGAAAATTGATGTTTCTGAATGTCTCTTGATTTTGCACTTCGCAGGATCATTTTGAAATTTCGGTATGATAAGCTCCTTACTCTTCTCTTCTCATTCCGAAGGTTTCATAAAATTCCACTTAATAGTTTTCTAGGAAAGCATTGAAACGTAAAAAGGTTCAAGTTCTTTCATTTAGTATTTGAAAATTGATGTTTCTGAATGTCTCTTGATTATGGACTTCACAGGATCATTTTCAAATTTCGGTATGATAAACTCCTTACTCTTTTTTTTTCATTCCGAAGGTTTCATAAATTTCCACTCAATAGTTTTCCAGAAAAGCATTGAAACGTAAAAAAGTTTAAGTTCTTTAATTCAGTATTTGAAAATTGATGTTTCTGAATTTATCTTGATTCTGATCTTCACAGGATCACTTTGAAATTACAGTATGATAAGCTCCTTGCTCTTTTATTTTCATTTCAAAAGTTTCATAAATTTCCACTCAATATTTTTCTAAAAAAGCATTGAAACGTAAAAAGGTTCAAGTTCTTTAATTTAGTATTCGAAAATTGATGTTCCTGAATTTATCTTGAATCTGGTCTTCACAGGATCATTTTGAAATTTCGGTATGAAAAGCTCCTCACTCTTCTCTTTTCTAAGATTATCTCTTTTTATTCCAAAGGTTTCACAAATTTCCACTGAATAGTTTTCCAGAAAAAAATTGAAATATAAAAAGGTTCATGTTCTAAAATTCAACTCCACTTTTTCCTACTGCATAACAAGCCAATGCTCGTGCCTCTGATTCAAATTCAGAAATAAATGCAAATTCATCACTTTTACTATTATTGTCGCTTTCGGCCAAATGAGACAGTCCACCTTTTTGTGCCCCTTTTTACCGCAACCATAGAATCTAAATGGAAAGTTGTTTTCATTTTCCTTCTTTCTCCAATTTTGATAAAAACTGTGTGATAATCTCTGAATCTTGAATTGATCCACCACAATTCTTTAGTTCTAAGACTGTTCGCTCATACTCTACAAGAAAATCGTTTCTTTTTCCATCATATTTTAATCTTCTTAGTGTTCTTTGTAAACTTACTTGGTTATGCCAGACTTCTTATATGTTTCACTTAATTCTAATAATATTTCCTTGGCAGTAGCTTTACCTTTCACCATCTCGAGTATATTATCAGCCAAACTATTGACTATCAAGTTACGAGCCTTGGCATCATCCTTTTTGAACTTTACACACTCAGATGATTGCTCGTCAGGCGGATGCTTTGTCAGCATCTGCAAAACTCCATGATGCTCGAGAAGCAACTTCATTCGGAATTCCCAATTGGAAAATTCTTTCCCATCAAATAATTTCATCTGTACTTGGGTACTGTTTGCCATGACTATTTACACCTATTTCTTTTCTTGCTCTACTGGATGAGTTCCTTCTCACTGTAATTGTAATCTTTTGCGTACAAGGTTTTTCAATTTACTTACTTTTTGCAGACGAATTGAGGCTTACCCAGATTCTGGACAAAAGTTGGAATGAACTGATGGAAGTGAGATGCATATCGGTAGGTAATACAACCAATGCAGAACATCGAGTCACATTGAAATGGCAGCCCACCGGATGAAGGCTGCCGGGGGATGGAAAGAAACACCAGGCAACTAGGTTATCGACCTGATGGATCAAATGGTGGTTACTCATAATTTTCAAAGTTATATGTGGCCAAGCATATGGCAGGAAGGATGAGGCGTTTCTTCCATAATAAAAAGAGGCATTGCAAAAAAAAATTGAAATGTAAAGAGGATTGTATGTCTGTGATAGCAGATATAGCTTGTCAAAGTACGTAGGTCCTGTTATGCTAAACATAAGAAATATCCTTACGTTATAGATTTTCTTGAATATTTCGAAAAATACTGATCCGATTTTGGGGTTTGCATGCCTACAAAATGACCCTAAAAAATCTATGATTATCCTACAAACAAACAAAAAGGCCTGACATAATTTAACAGTCTCTAGTCCTAATTAAATAATATCCGAGATATTGTTGATGTGCAACAAAGCTCTCTGGAATAATACTTGGTTTCAACGCGAAAATACAAAACTTTTCCCTGGCACATACACAAAACGGCATTAATAAACAAAACCGTTTTACAAGAACTTTAAACCCAAACCAAATTAACTTGATCCCTCGTGTCCTCTCTAGTTTGCATTAATTAAAAGATTTTACGTATTCCGAAGCAATGCAACCAACTAGCTATAGCTAACGATGGCTTAAAGCTATAAAGCTATAAAGCTCGCTTACATTAAGATTAAGCAAAAGTTCAAGGGATTTTGGTAAAATTAATGCATTTGTATGCATCGAGTTTTAAGTGCACGTAGAAATTTACTCACTTGTTTCGGTACCTCCAGGCTGCTTTGCATCTTCATTTCGGCCCCTGTAGGTGTTCGAGACCGTTTAAATGTTGTCCGTAATCGGTGCATGATTCGGTTTTCGGTTAGTGGTGATTAACGTTTCTTTTGCGCTGAAACTAAAAATTTAAAATTCAAAGCCACGAATTCGGGTTTAGGGCAAAGGGCATTTATATTCTATTATCGAACGCCAGTTTATACGATAGTCGAAATCCTATTACAAAGGTGAATTTTTGTGGAGCGTTTGAAGTCATGACATACACGTTTATTTACTGATTTATTTTGGATGAATACATTGAATGGGGTTTTAACGTCCATTTAAGCAAGTTGCAGCATGCAGTTTCTGTATTTAATCCAATCTAATTATTTGAAGTTAGAACTCTAAACACGACCCAATCTAAAGTTGTCTTAGTTCATTAGCAACTTTTCAACTTTTCGCTATTCCGGTCTTGTTAGGATTTTGAAAGTTTTAATTTGTTGCTAAAAAGTATAAAATTCTTTTGAGGCTTTTTGGTAATTATTCATCAGTATTTGTTTCAATGTTTTTGCTCTAAAACAATGCAGGTATTGAGTTGTGACCCCTATAACTCAGTAGTGAGTAGTTACCAGCAAATTTAGTCACATTATACATCAGTGTTGTATAAAACAGATTGAAGGTATTTTCAGGAAAGTTATTAGAGTAATGATGAAGTAGATAATTGAGCCATTTAACACTTACACAGGCCTGCCTCGACGAAATCACTGAGAATACTTTCCACGGAGAAAATCCTCAATCTTATTCAAGGCCAAAATGAGGGCCTAAACGTCAAAAATTGGCGAGTGATCCGAAGTAACGCCGAGGACCACCTGGTCACATTAACCCTGTGCATCCGCATAATAACTTAAATTCGGAGGCTACGCGGTAAGTTACAAGTTCGGTCATACGACTATACAAGTTCGGTCATACGACTATAAGACCGCAAAGCAGCCGGAACACAACAGCTGTGGAGCAACCAAGCACCCCAAAGAAAAGCGGTGTCGAACCAAGGGCAGGCACGTCTAAAGACTCAATGAGTCATAAAGACGAAAGTGTCCAGGTGGAGTCCGAAAAGTGAGTGCAACTCTAATGGCTTACTCCAAGCAACCAAAGAGAAGCAGCTCACCAAGCATCAAATGCATTCAAATAAATCTTCAACACTCAAAAGCTGCCACTAGTGAGCTTAGAAGAAGAATGTTTGGACAAAAAATCAACGTAGGGCTACTTCAAGAGCCCTGGGTCAATGGAGGCTCTATGAAAAGCCTAAATATTAAATCATGTAAGTTAATCTACAAAGACCAAGAGCAGCATTGCTGCTTGTCAAAAATTTAAAATTCTTACGTGTTCCAGAGTTCATCACACAAGACTCGACAGCTGCTTTAGTAGAAGTGCCGACGGAAGGGGGCCCAAGCCTCAAGGCATATTCTCATAGCCTCAGCCTACTTTCCAGGTGATGATAACTCAGCACCGCCAGAGATCATCCAACGACTCATTACGTGGTGCAGAGCGAGGAACAGACACTACATTATCGGGGCAAACGCCAACGGCCATCACAAAGTAGGATGGGGAAGCACCGATACAAACGTAAGAGGTGAATACCTTTTTGAATATTTGAACTCTAACAACATAGACATTATCAACAAAGGTAACAAACCCACTTTCATCAACGCCGTCAGACAAGAGGTCTTAGACGTGACTCTAGCTGACACATTTACATCTAACACAATAACCAACTGGCTTGTGTCAAATGAACCCTCCCTGCCAGAAAACTGTTAAACAAGGCAAAAACGAACGGCAACTGGGCAGACCATAGAACAGCCCTAGACAAGTACAACCGTGAATTAAGAAAATCAAAAAGGAAATCATGGAGAAAATTCTGCGAGGGGATTGACGAATTAGCCCCAGCTCAACGTCGCCAAAAAGTTGTTTCAAAAAATCACTCAAACAGAATTGGTCTGCTTGAAAAGCCAAACGGAGATCACTGTACCGACCATATAGAAAGTCTAGAGGTACTACTACAAACCCACTTTCCAGGTTCGGTAATCGTTGAAGCCCTGAACCAGGTCACTCCGCCTATCGAAAAGCCACAAAGCCCTAACGGCAGGAGCAAAAGGCTGCCTGGGAAAATCTTCACAATGAACAGAATAAAATGGGCGATCAATAGCTTCAGACCCTACAAATCTCCAGGCAAAGACGGGATTTTTCCCGCACCACTGCAAAAAGGCTACGAGTACTTAAAGGTACACCTACAAAAGCTTTTTGAGGCAAGCCTGCTCCTAGGGCACGTACCGCTATCTTGGAGGGAAACTAATGTGATATTCATACCATGTTACGATAAATTTATCATTTACGTAACATGTTCCATCTCTTCTTATTTTCATTATAAAGTTATATTTTTTCCATTTTAGAATCAGCCAAATAATATCCACAAAATTCAAATTCAAATTCGAATAATACAAGTGCTGCCATCTATCCACATTTGCGTAAAGTGCAAGTACGAGAAGTGATTTTTTAGTGCTGCCATCTAGTGCCCGATGATCTATATTTCAAAGTATGATTTCTAATTTCGCTTTTGGCAGTCATTTGTATTTTAATTGAAAGAAATTATATTCATCTCACTTTTAGCAAATGGATATATTTCTGACCTTTTTTAACTTCTGATTTTTAAATATTCATTTTTGGCTTAATGATCTAGTTAATTAACAGTCTTTTATTTTTGACATAACCCTAATTTAAATTATTATAATTTGTAAACAATTAAAATAGTTTTAGTGGATTTTTATCTATTTTCGTTTATTCCATGCGGTCTTTTCATTGTGTTTTCATTTTGAAGTGAATATGGTCTTTTGGGTGTACTCGTTTGATTGGTTAAAACTGGTTGGAATTCAGTTAAGTACAAAAAACACAGGATTGTTTTCCTGCTGGCCAAGGTTTCTGAAACGATCTCTTCTACATAGAAGAACACTCTGGCCAGGCAAGTCCTCTATTTTTTTTTTTAAATAATTTTGTGCTGTGAATTTCTGGATCCTCCCTCATAAATATTTCAATATTCAAATTGTCATATCTTTACTGAGTTTTTACCTGATAAATCTTATCTTATCTGTTTTTGAAATATAAATATTATATTTTAAGGTTTTTTATCCAATTGTTGGCTTCCATTTTGTATGAATTATTTATTGGTTAGTACAACATTTTTGTTAAGAAGTAAGTCAAGAATTTTTGGGTTTTAAATAGGTACTGCTGCTCTGGCTTTCAGAAAAAATTTTTAGTGTGGGAAAATTGGACCATTTGCTCTAAATAGAGTCGGTGAAAACCAAATTTGTGAGTCCATCCCCATTAATTTTTCATTGAATCCAGACAGAGGCCTGAACAGCCATTTTCTGCTTGACTCCTTAAAATATTATCTAAACTAAAGGGTGTATTTTTTTTTAATGGAAATCCAGACAGGTCAAAAATTCAGTTTAAAAGTTTTAATTAAAAGATCTCAAGAATTTTGACACATTCTGGATTTGATTAATTTCAACCCTAGGTTTATCTAGTATCTGTGGTAGCTAACTTAATTCAAGGGGAGAATTTTGTCTATTTGGGGAGGAACCAGACATTTGATTTCTTATTTTTTTTACTCACCTTATTTTTGCTCATATTTTTGCTTGTATTTTTGCTTGCCAGAGCTGTTTTTCAGTGAAGCAGCATTTTGCTCAATTGTAACGAGCATTCTAATTTAATCTTGTTATTACTTTTTTTTATTATCTTACCATTAATCTTAATTATTTAATTTTTTTTTTTTTATATTAAAATATATATATATTTTTTTTCCAACTTGCAATAGTTTTTCATACCTGATTCTGTTGGAAGGGAGTGTCTGTACAACAATCATTTTATACTAAATTTCAACTTCAATTTCTTTTGCAAGACACTCACTTTTTGACAGAATTCAGGGATTTAATATTCCAAATATTGGTGAACCTGATACTGCCTTATTCTTTTCTGGGTACCTACTCTACCTAAAGATCACTGTTTGGAGTCTGGATCAGCTGGAGTGACGTCACCCCAGCAATCTACCCTCTTCCTGGAAACAGGAAACAACACCAAGAGCTCCAGTTCACGAAAGTGAAACCCCAACACCCATTGAAGAGCTCTGGATTGGAAAGGTACAAACTGTATCAGATTCACCAGAACAACCAAGCTATATTGTTTACACTATTTACGCAACCAATATTGTACACTAAATAAAATTATTGTTTGTTGGATTTTGAGTGGTTTCATTTGCACACAAAGGGGCTACACGTTATCTTAATATTTCTTTGAATTCACGACCCTTGGTTATCGTATCTTAAAGTATACAAATTCCTCTTATTAATTTGTAACAACCAAAAACGGGTCGTCGACCCGAGGACGAACCAAAATCATATCGTCCCATTAGCCTAACCTCCTTTCTCCTTAAGACAATGGAGAAAGCAATCGACCAGTACATCAGAAGCGAAATTCTATTGAGAAGACCGCTCTACTCGAAGCAATTTGCTTATCAGCCAGGCAAATCCACAATAAGTGCTTTACAATACCTGGTTAAAGACATTGAAAAGACAATCGAGTGCAAAGAGATCGCTCTCACAGCTTTCATCGACATAGAGGGTGCCTTTGATAACACCTCACATCAATCAATCGCCAGAGCATTACAAGAATGGGATGTTGAAGTTCCAATTGTAAAATGGATAGAAGTCGATGCTGAAACACCGTCACGTTACGGCTGAAATAAACGGAGCATCAGCTACCGCTACCACGGTCAGAGGGTGTCCTCAAGAGGGTGTTCTTTCTCCACTGCTATAGACACTGGTGGTAGACAAAATTCTTACCAGACTGGATACCAGGTCATAGGCTACGCAGATGACCTAGCCATTCTAATCAAGGGCAAACATGAAGGCGTAGTGACAAGCCGAATGCAAAGTGCCCTAAACATCGTTAAAAATTGGAGCGAAGGCGAAGGATTATCCCTAAACGCAAACAAAACAGTACTTGTCCCGTTCACAAGAAGAAGGAAGCTAAATTTGAAAGCCCC